CGCAGAAGCAGCTGGCGGAGGCACATGCCGAGGCACGGCGGCTGCGGGAGCTCCATGGCCACGCTGAGGACTCGGCCCGGCTGGTCAGGGACAGGGACAGGAAGGTAGGGGACAGGGAGGAGGTGTTGGGGGGTGGCGAGGGGCTCCTGGGAGGGGAAATGGTGGCCCTGGGCGCTGCTCAGGTGGGCACACGTAAGTGCACACACGGACACATGTGCACCCCTGGTGTTCCCCTTTTTTCCCCCCTTGAGCCGAGACTGAAACTGGGGGCAGAAGGGGTGGGATGGGAAGGTCCCAGCTCTGCCCCTGCCCGGGCATGGGGGCACCCAGGGGTGGCAGCAGGCATGGCCGTGGGTAGACCCCAGGGGAGTCAGGGCTGAGGGGTCTCTGGGTCCCTGTAACCTCCATGCGCTGTGCAGATCACTGAGCTCTCTAAGGAGGTCTTCAGGCTGAAGGAAGCCCTGAATGCCCTCCCCGAGTCCCGGGGACCACCGCAGTCACCCCCCGACGCTGCCACACTCCAGGCCAGGATCCGTGCGCTAGAGGATAAGCTGGCGGTGGGTACCAGGGGGCTTGTGGCCATCCCCTGGTGGGTTTTGGGCGTCCGCAAGCCCCCAGCCCCGTGCTCAAACCCGCTCGCTGTCTTGCAGGAGACCGAAATGCAGCACAGCAAGGTGGTGACACTGTACCGGAGCCACCTGCTCTACGCAGTGCAGGTGAGGTGGGGACGTGGCTGTGGGGGAATTGGGGACACCGGTATGGGGGAGCGGGGCACCAGCCAGCCACACCTTGGTGCCCGCACGCATGTGGGAGGCAGCAAGGGGCTGGATCCAGGGACTGCCAGCCCAGGGGCGCGTGGGCCACGCACAGAGACTCCCTGATGTCCCCTCCGATGTCCCCACCAATGTCCCTTCCACCCCAGGGCCACATGGACGAGGACGTGCAGAGACTCCTGTGCCAGATCCTGAGGATGCAGCGGCTGCAGGAGCAGGGCAGATGAGCCCCTGCCAGCACGGCAGTGCCGCAGGGGTCGGTGGCACAGCCAGTGACACGGCTGGGGGGCCAGGCCCGTGACAGCGCCCTCTGTGCCCCTTTGCTTCTCCGGGCAGCACCCTGTCACTGGCACACGCACCCGCACACCCACCTGGCTGTGCCAGCCCCCCCCATGCCCCACGCACCCCAGCACAGCAGCAATAAAGTATTTATACTCACGCCAATGGGACAGCTCATCTCTGGGGGGGACAAGGGTGGGCACAGGGACACGGGTACGGGGGGCTCTGGGGGAGGCTGGCGGAGCTGGGGATGGTAGGGGATCGGTGCTGTCATCTCCTCCAGCCCCAATGTCCCCAGACGGGAGCGGGTGACCATGAAGGAAGCGGGGTGGTGGCATGGGAAGGGTTGAAACTCTCTTGGCCAGAGCCGAAACTGCTTTCCGGCAGGTCTGGGGCAGGCAGAGGCCCCATGTGCGGGGGATCCCTGTGGAGCCGCGCTGGGCGGCGGGTCCCCACTGGGGACGGCGTTTCCTGCACGAGGAAGTGGGCTGAGGCCGGCCAGGGCTGCGGCTTTCCGCACCAGTGGTGACGGAGCCTCTGGTCCCAGATACCTGGCCCTGCTGCGGTGAGCGTGATGGGGTACAGGTGGGGGCGCCATGGGGAGCCCCTTGTCCGTGATACGGGGAAAGTGAGGCATGTCCTGCTGCCGGGGCTGAGCCAGCCTGCGGCCAGGGCGGGCGATGACAAGGGCAGGATCCATCCCTGGGGTTCTGGGCTTGGTCACAGCAGGGAACTCAGCTCAGTCCCCAGGGTGGGTTTTGGGGGGGTCCCTGTGAGGGACAGTCCGTCCCCAGATGCCCTGGGAGGTGGGGGCCATCCGAGTGCGCTGGCCCCTTCCCTGGTCAAGGCCTGGAGTGACCCGGAATCTTGATTCCAGGCATGGGACCACAGGGGTGGCTGCAGGTCCCCATGGGAAACCCAGGTCACACAGGGTGTTTTCACTCCTGCCTCTATCCCCTCCTCCTGCCTGGCAGCAGGATCCGGCCACTGCAGCAAGAAACCATCCCCTGTCCCCAGGGCATGCGGCAAGGCTGGGGGGAAACGGAGGGACGGCACTGTGGGGTGGCCTAGAGATGGGTTTGAACCCCCAGCTTTAGAGTGATGTCCCTGGACCAGCTGGGGACCTGTGGCTGTGGTGTCCCTGCTGTCCCCTGCCCCGGGGTCTGACCGTCCTGCCTGCCCCCACAGGTCCCTGGAACCAGGCAGCTCCGCTGAGTCTCCCTGACATGAAGTGGCTTTGGGTGGTGGCTTTTGTGGCCCCTGCCTGCACCGTTCCCTACAACACCACGGCAGGCAGCGCTGGGGATGGAGGTATGGGGGGACAGAGACAATGGGGACAGAGGTATGGGGGCATGCGGGACTGGGGAGGGACTGGGGGGGCTGGGATGGAGGTTGGGGGGAGTGGGATGGGGAGGAGACAGCAGGACTGGGCAGACTGGGAGAGCTGGGGATGGAGATGGAGGGAGCAGGGATGGAGGTATAGGGGCATCGATGGGACTGGGGACACTGAGGGGACCGAGGCCAGAATTACAGGGCGTCTAAGGATAAAGGTGTAGGGACATGGGAGGGATTGGGGACATTGGAGGACTGGTGATGGAGGAGTAGGGACACTGGGCGTCTGGGGACACAAGGGGACCAAGGACAGAGGCACAGGGGCTGGGGGCATTGGAGAGGGAGGGGCAGAGGGGTGCTGGGAACAGAGTTGGGGGGCCCAGGGAGGCACAGACCCTTCCTGACCCCATGTCACCCCCTACCACTCCCTGTCCCTGCCGTGGCGTGTCCCCTTGACCCTCCTGCCGGGGACCACAGCGGGGAGATGGGGGCATCGTGCCGGGGGGTGCAGCCCATGCCCACTGCCCTCTCCCCCAGGCCGCTGCACCCTGCAGCACGGCACCCTGGGCACCGAGGTGCTGCTGCAGTGCCCAGCTGCAGCGGGGGGGCCGGCTGAGTGGCGCCGGGGGGGGACTGTCCTGGGAACGTATCCTGCACCGGGGCTGGCCCTCCCCAACGCCACCCTGGCCCACGAGGGCCACTACAGCTGCCACCACCCTGGCACCGGCGAGACGTGGGCCACTGTCTGCCTGCGGCTGGGCTGTGAGTGACCCTGGCCCCCCCGTAGCCCCCCGCTGCTGGCTGGGGGTCCCCTGGGGAGGACAGCAGCGGGGTGATGACTGTCCCCTGCCCCAGATCCCCCTGCACCACCTGCCGTCGAGTGCTGGGCCATCAGCTACCCGCAGGCAGTGAACTGCTCCTGGGTCCTGGCCCCCGAGCCGCTGCTGGACACTGACTTCGTGGCCACGTACAGGTCAGTGGGGGGCCCTGAGCCCCGGCTGAGCTCCCCCCGGTGCCTGCGTCTCAGGTGGGGCTGCAGGCAGGGCAGCCCACGCCTCGCCCAGCTCCCCGCTCTGCCCTGCCAGGCACGGCTCGTGGGGGGCCACAGAGACGGGCGAGTGCGTCCGCACGGGGCCGCGGAGCTGCTCCTTTGGGGACGTGCAGATGTTCTCCCTCATCCCCTACGTGGTGAACGTGACGGCCGTGAACCCCCTGGGCGCCGCCTCCAGACTCCTGCCCTTCCTCCTGGAGAACATCAGTGAGTGCTACTGGGACCCGCCTGGATGCCCAGGTCCCCGCAGACCCCTCGCACTTAACCCCGCCACCTCCCAAGCAGTGTGCCTGGGTCTAATCCAGCCCAGGGGCTTCCTCTGGGTCTTTCCCCTCCAGTTTGCTCCCCTGCTTGGGATGCGGAAACATCAGGGCAATGATTTGCTGGGTCTCAGACCAGCCTGGATTGCACAGCTCAGTCAATGGGGCCAGTGGACATGGCGTCACTGTCCCCAGAGGCCCCGTGCCGGATCCCCTGGCCAGCACCTCACACCTCCGTTGTCTCCCTGCTTCATTAGTAAAGCCGGACCCCCCTGAGGACCTGCGGGTCTCACCCATCCCCGGGGAGACCAAGAAGCTGCTGCTGGAGTGGAGCCCGCCAGGGTCCTGGCCCTTCCCGGAGTACTTCCCGCTGAAGTATTGCATCCGCTATGCCCGGGAGGAGGGCTCTGTCACCAAAACGGTACTGTCCACCCCCCACTGCATCCCCTACCCTCCCACACCCGGTAAACTGAGGCACAGCTGCAGGCTGCATCCCCGAGCAAGGCTGTGTCCTGGCCCCCCAGCCCATGGGTGCCCCTAACCCCGCTCTACCCCTAGATCGGGCCATACGAGCAGACATCTTACACCCTGACGGGTGTGCGACCCGGGACCCTCCACCACATCCAGGTGGCCGCCAAGGATTTCACAGACTCCGGGGAGCTCAGCGCCTGGAGCCTGCCGGCCTCGGGGACGCCCTGGATGGAGCCATGACAGGCAGAGCAGGGCCGGCGTCCCCTTCCCCACCCTGCTCCTCGCCCTTGTCCCACCGAGGGACCTCACAGGCCCCAGCCGCTCTCTGTCCCCATGTCCCCAGCAGCGTGAAGCCACCAGGACTGGAGGGACCTGCCAGAAGCCGGCAATAAACCAGCCTGAGGCTCTGATCCCGTCCCGCTTTTGTGATGCTCTCCATGAAGCAGCTGCGCTGCCCCTGGGGACGCTCCCTTTGCTGGCTGGGAGGCTGGATGGGGCCAGGCCAGCCCTGGCCATGGGCAGAGGGGAGGACGCAGGCTCCAACCGGCCCCGATCGCCCCAACTGGTCCATATGGCCCGGACTGGTCCCTGTGGAGGGTCCAGACCGGTCACTTTGCCCCCCGCAAGGCCTTGGCTGGTCCCTGTGGCCTCAGCTGGTCCCTGTGACCCCACCATGGCCCAAACTGCCCCCCGCCAGGCCTGCACGGTCCCCGTGGCCCCTCTCCATGGTCTGAGGTGGCCTCCAGGGCCCACACCGACCCCAGACCGGCCTCCAGGGCCCGGCCGCCCCCGCGGCGACCTCCCGGGGCCCGCCCCTCGCCCCCGGAACCGCCTTTCGGGCGGGCTCGTGGCGCCGGGACACGTCGCTGCAGGTCGC